AGAGATTTCTGAGGACCATTTCCCATGGGAGTTTCTGATATAGAAATGAGCAAGGTCGCCGACTTTTTTACAGTGTTCTAATGAGGTCAAAAGGTTAGTGAGTGTCACATCACCCACCAGGCGAATGGCTTTTCTCTGTATGGATTCTAAGAGCATAAGCGTATGTTCGGATGCTGAACCCCATAAATGAGAAACGGATACTGGAACTGGCCGTATCTGAGCTCTGTATATGATGAGAGGCTGTTGAGATGTAAAGTATATTTTTGCACGGAACAAGAATGCGAGTTCTTGTGAAGCAGCTTCTGCAATGGATTGGACATGGTTTTCACATGATAGAATATGGCTGATGGTAAAACCGAGCATTTATATAGTGGTCTTGGTGGGAATGGTGGTACCAGACATCACTTTATCAGGTATAGTGAGTTCGGCCTTTCTAGAGGCAATACAGGTTTGAGTTTCTGTGGAGTTGAATTCAACTAGGTTGCTGGTACTCCAGGCTGTCATTTACGCAAGTACTTCATTGACATCGTTGGCATCGTAAGTTCTTAGTTTCCTGGAGAGAAATGGAAATTCTAGAAGAGAATGCAGTATGGAGAGTACTATCGTCTGCAAAGCTATATCGTTGATATGAAGAATAAGAAACAATGTTGTTGCCAAAACAGATCCTTGGGGAACGCCGGAGTTGATGGCAATGGTATCAGACGATGTTCCGTCCACCACCACATGGAGCGATCTGCCTGAAATAAAACTTGATAAAAGATAGCATAGCTGAGGTGGTAAGCCGTATGATAGTGTCACGAATAGGGTTATTTTTCATTCATTCATTCAAATTCATACAAGGTTCGAAGTCATTGAACGGTCGCGTCTTTGTTTATTTATTCCAAAATTTTCGATTTTCGAATCGTGAACGAACTTTTTTTCCATAGTTGAACATAAACACAGGCGTGACATTGACTTCAACGAACCTGGACTATCGACCTGATTTCCTTACTGTCACGTTTCCGAAAATGAAGACAATTATTTAAAAGACGTAAGGAAGCGGGTTTGACAGTTCGACTACCGGTAAGGCTGCGAGTTCAACTGACATTTCGAGCTCTAGCTCTGTTTTCGTTCTGTAAAGTTGCCACTGTACCCGAATCTTCGGAGTTCGGGCAGAACAGAAGATGCCGTTCCTCAGGCTCCCAGAAATGCCATTTAATTTGTACATATAGGGCAAGTTAAGTTTTATTTATTGTTAATCATAATACGAAGAATAAATGTGTGTATATGTTTTGTTGAAAACCCTTTTGGAGTACTCTTTATTATTATCACTTTTGAAGTTCATTCTCTAATGGGTCTAGAACACACCTTAGGCAACCCCCGCCTACAGTTTGTGACAATATAGTAGTTTGTGAAGCAGTCCTTGGTGTCAAGCACGGTCGAGTCGAATGTTTTTGATATATCTGACGCCACAGCTATTAGATATTCCCCATGTTTTTCTAATGAAGCATGTCATTATATGGGTGACGTACGCAGGCATATCTTCAGTTGAACTCCGGTGGCAGAAGCCATATTGTCCATCATTGATGATTCCTGAGCATTCCAGATATTTGATGAGCTCATTGTTGATGGCTTTCTCCATCACTTCGAAGATGATTGATGATTGCAGAGCAATTGTCCTATAGTTGTTAGGCCTTGAAATGTTGTTGCTAATAACTATTGGTGAAATTCCTTCCGACTGCTTCAGCGAAGGAGCAAAACGATCGGGAGCCATTATGACAATCTAAACTAGTCAACATTGATAACGTCGTGGTCCAAAATATAGCCTTAATTCACAGTAGAATGACTCACGAATTTCCATACCAATTTGAAATCGGTTCTCACCGATGATTAGCGTATTCTCTTGACTGTTTTTTGTGGCAATATGAAACTTTCGTTATTTCATAATTTATCTTAACGAGAATGCATCATTTTGATGAAAAACGTGTACCTTCATTATATGACCTTCGATCCGAAAAATTACAAAACCATTTCGGGGTCAGGCACCTGACATCCTCATGACGAAGTAACACTCCATTATTTCACTAGTAACATAGAGAACATTATGTTTCATCTATTGAAGACTACGTTATTCTCCATTCTTTTATTCAGTATCTTTTGTATCACTTTGTATTGACCTCTTCAGAATTTTTTGTGTTCGACCACAATCACATATCCGACGACTATGCATACAACGTTGATTCTTCGAAAAAAGATTCCAACTTCCAATTTCATTCAATTAATCGTCGAAAAAATGCATCATTCCGAATGAATATTCATAACACCATATCAAAGCTCTGAATTTGAAAATTCTGAAAACGTCTCGAGAGAAAGCATCTATCAAGAGGATACAGGTGAGAATTTTTTTTTAATTATCTCTCCAAACAGTAAGGTGAAGACCACGATGCAATTTTACATCCATTCAATTATCATCTTGTAGCAATGTTACCTGAAATTACGGAAGTTTCATAGGGCCACAACAAACTGTCAGGAGATCGGGCTAGTCATCGGTGAAGACCGAATTCAAATTGGTCAGGAAATTCGTGAGTTAGTCTACTTTAAATTCAGGCTACATTTTGGACCTCGACGTTATCAATGTTGATCAGTTTATAATCTATGAGTTTTGATCCTATTTTGGCATTATATAATTCTTTTGATGCATTTATTGTTTGACTGCGAATATTTCTGGCTTCAACATATTCTGCTCTAGTCACGAGGTGAGGGATATTGCGCCAGCGATGGTTGGCTGTTTGTTCCAAGGCAACATGTGTCCATTCCAAGTGTGATGATCTTGTATACTTCGGCGGCACACTGTGAAGGATCCTCAGAATCCAAGCATATTATATGCCAAGGAATCTCGGGATACCACCATTGAATTTACAATTTTTGAGAAACAAATCACAGAATCAGACTGACAGATATTTCAACTACGAAATGGCCACAATGCTCAAAGTGGAATAAAATGTTGAATGAATAGAGAAAGCTCAAAGTAATGACACGATGTTCATTAAATGAACAACAATGGTAGATTTCGGCAGAAAAACAACTACTTCTCTGGCCAATGCCACGCAGAACATTCAATTATATTCTCCGGAAATGTATGCACCGACTCGTACAAACGAATACTGATACAAGTGATTCTTTCTCGAATTCCTATTGAATTCGATTTAGCCATGCCACGCTAGACACCTAATGACCGGTATCAGTATTCGTTTATATTCGTTGACAGGAGTCGATGCATTGATTTTGGGAAGATGTAATTCAATGTTCTGCCTGGCATTAGCCAGGAAAGTAGTTGTTTTTCTCCCAAAATCTACCAATTTTGTTCATCTTATGAACATTGTGTGTGAATGACTCAGAGCTCTCTGTATTTATTTGACAAATATTTGATTACTGCAAGAGAATGATAAATATGCCTGCAAAAACATGATTGCCACGCAGGTGTCATTCCTGTAACAAACTTCAAATTTCACGTCAATAATTTTTTGATTTCAATATAATGAAATATCTTTCCAATATTGATCCGTCCTTTTACCTGTCACAGAAAAAAATGTGAATTATACACGAGAAAAATATTACGCATTTTAGCTCACGGCTTCTTGTCTCCCTTTGCAACGCGTCGGCAACACAACATGAAGCTAAAATCTACTACTTCTTCCCCTTGTATAATGAATAATTATTTCACTCTCGAATGTAAATGATATATGCTATTGAATCCTTCTGATTTATTGATTGCGGCACCAACTAATAAAAACTCATTTCATTTATTACATTTATTTTGTCATGCAAGTGTTCTTCCAGGCATCGTTGATGAAATATTAATCCTGCTGTATCCGTATTATTGAGTATGATTAACCAAGAAGTGATCGATCGCTAAGGACTCCTTGAAAACGCTCGATTCCTTCATCGATGAACGATAATGTTATAGGCAAAGACTACAGAATCCAAAGATATACACGGAACCATTTTTCGTCACCATGGTCCAGCTAGTAGCGTTTATTACAATTCCTCAAATTCATTATCTAAGAGGGACCAGTCTTATGTATCCATTCTGTATTTTTTGGTATTTCAGCAATCTGCATTGAAATTGATTTTGTTTCTTTTTCACAATACAAATAGGATATGATGTTTATATTCCGACAACTTCCAAATGTCAATGATAACTCGATATTCAAGCTCGCTCGTCCACCAAAAATACCGAAAAAACGTTACAAAAAAAGTTACACAAATTCAATAAGAGTGAGACAAATACCCCTCATTCATCTGCGACGCAAATCCAGATCATTATTGACAAGACATCCTGTATATTGTTGAATTTTTGGATTATTGATGCTCTGCGTTTACGAAAAAAAATAACAATTATACGATATTCTGAGCATCAGCCTTGAATTTAGATAATTTAGAATGCTTTACTATATTTCAGATTGATCCGCCTTGTGAATGTGTTACCATATTTTCAATATCATGAATTTTCATATCGAACCTGACAAAGTGTTTCGTCACACCTCTGGTTCGAATTTTATCAACATTTATTATGTACTGATATTCAGCTCTATTTATTGACTATAAAAGTTCACCTAATAAGAATAAGGACATCGAAAATGGGACAACCTGTACATGAGCAGCTTCGAATCCTCAATAGGAAGAATCTACTGAAAACGATCTTGTTCTCCCTCCTCATGACAATGTGATGAAGAATGGGGTTCGAGAGGTTTCCACAATTCCATGGTATGAAGATATTGACTCTGTGAATGACATTCATGCTAACTGTTGAAGACCAGCGACCTTTGCCCTAGCTGTTCACTGTCCACTAGACTAATGAGACATACATGATCAAATGTTCCACAATTTCTTGATAAATTCCCTGAAGTTGTTTGAGGTTCATTCCACATGATTTGTCAAATAAATTCCGAAATTCCAGGAAATCTGAAATTATCCATAATTCCATCCAAAGTGAATAAATATCATTTCATCTCTTTCAGCCGATGTGGTACTATGCACTCTTCCCCTAGGAGTTCTCAAGCTCTGCGCATCGCCTTCTAGCAACCAGGTCAACACCGTCCAGTTTTCCCCACCACTTCCCGACTGGAAGACCTCGGCGATCCAGCGCCTGGGATTCGGTAATCTGAACAAGGTCGTTCTATGTTTCGAAAGGATCTTCTGGAATCCGCAGGCCAATCTATTTGGTCATGTCGGCAGCACAACGGCCAGCAGAGGGGAGCTATTCTTGTTCTGGAACTTATACAAGGCTCCTGTGCTGTTGGCTTTGGTAGCTGGAGAGGCTGCCGCCATTATGGAGAATGTTACTGATGATGTCATTGTTGGAAGGTGAGAAAACTCCTTGAAAAACTGGTGAAAATACAACGTAACATTTCTAATCTTCTTCGTGGAAGTATATGTACAGGGTTTTCCAAACTGGACGCGTTCTTATGTGAATACCCATTATTTGGAGATATGGGAAAAAATTAACCAAGGTGTCCCGAGCTCGAATTTATTGAAGAAGCCACTGGCGCAAACAAAACTTTGCTAGCTCTCATTGTTTCGTTGCCAGAGGGCTCTCCTCGAATTTTGTTGATTTCTTCGTAACTTTCTCATTGACAAGAGTAATTAATTTTGGTAAACATTTTCTCGGAGCACTTTTTTTTGTAGAATCCATTGCAATAGGCAGTTTTTCTACAGGATGTTCAGATTTTTTTGCACCACCGCAAACTCTTTTTTTCTGAATGAACTACCCTATATATTATAAAATTTTTGAAAACCTCGTGAAACTTCCTAAATTCTGATGTATCACTAATCATGTTCATCTCAAGGGCCATGAGCACCATCGAAATAAAATCATTTCATCTACAGAAATCAATATGGCCATGACTAATAAAATAACATAGGTTGCTTACATGTGATATGTGATTGATACTACGGATCTGAAGTTTCATGAGAATATTATATTAAATGTTCAAGTGATTATTTAGAACACAAAGGAGAACAACATATCAACAATATCAAGAAAATAATAATAAACGATATCGAATAAAGAAGAACACATTAAATCATGTCAGCAAAAAATTGTTCCCAATTCGTTCTATGCAAATTCTATATCTTCTGGTAACAGCATTAACTGCAATAATGAGTTCTATATTTCGAATCCGATTAAGCTAACCTCGCAACGCCCTCTCTAATTCTTCTCGGCTCTCAAAATCATTGTTTTCATAAGATGGGTCTCTAATTCAACTCCAAAGAAGAAAATCTAAGGGCGTCAGGTCCAGTGACTGGGCAGGCCCTTGTATAGGCCCTTGATTTCCCATCCAATTTGCACCAAACTGGACATTGAGGTAATCGTTTATGATCCTTACGCAATGTGCAGGGGCACCATCATGCTGTAAGAACACTCTGGGTATCAAGATTCATAGGGATATCTTCCAAGAAAGGTTCAACCTGGTTCCTCAAAATATTCAAATATTCTCTAGAATTCAGCGGTCCACCATGAATGTAGGGTCCAATAAATCGTCCTCTAAAAATTCTTACCCACACATCTTGTTGTCTGTTTTGGCCAGTCACATGGGGATTTTCTTGGGACCAAGTGTAATCATTATACCGATTGAATATGCCTGCACTACTAAGCGAAGCCTCGTCGGTCCAAATACAATGCATAGCGAAATTTGGTTCATTTTGTATTATATTCAAAAACCCCTCACAAAAACGAGTTCTTCGATACAAATTTTCAAGGAAAAGATGATGGATTTCGCGGGTTTGATAAGGCTGTCATTTATTATTTCTCAAAACCCGGTGGATTGTGCTTCTGGATATGCCAGTCTCTGCTTCAAAATTTCTTGTGAAAGTTTCACCATTACTTTTATATAAAGTTCCCAATACGGTTAGAGTTTTTACTTCATTTTCGTTCCGAATTCCTTGATTTTGAGCATAATTTGCTCTGGGTTCAGTGAAAGAGCAAACATTTTGAAGATTATGGACAAGTCTACCAAATACATCCCTGGATGATTGCTGTCGTTCGGAATATCTTCCAAAATACAAGTTTTTTGCTGCCTGAGCATTTCTGTTACTTTCTATGTAGCATTCAAGCACTTTTCGAAATATTCATTCTCCAAAACTTTTCAAAATCCTCATAAAATACTTATTTTCTACTAAAAATACCAAACTATATATATTTTATTTTTCAAATCGTAATGTTGCAGATAGTTATCAAGATAAACATGACAAGTGATTCATCAAACTTTAGGAAATTTTACGAGCTTTTCGAAAAATTTGAAAGGTGGTTAAAAAAAAAAAGAATTTGGGGTAGTGCACAGATATCTGAACGTCTGATAAAACTGCCTATTGCAATGGATTCTACGAATAAAAGTGCCTTGAGAAAGTTTTTTTTTTTTTTCATCTCCTCGAATAAGGGGTGGTCCCATAAGAACGCGTCCAGTTTGGGACACCCTGTACATAGGGAAGTGGAATGTGATCTATTGATTTGGAGAAGTAAGTGTTTGGCTCGTCGGTAACTGCAATACTCAAGTATAAGCGTATTCTCGGATGGGCCAGATCTATGCTTTGTAGATCATAAGAAGCTGTTGGGGTTCAAAGTATCTTTTTGCTCGTAAGAAATCACTGATGTTGACACGGAGTGGAGGATGGTGGTACAAAATATTGTTACCTATATCAAGTATGCTAAATCAGGCGTTGAATTCAGCGGGGCTGTCGGTTCCCCAAATTTGAATTTCAACAAGATCTCCATTGACGACATTGCCCTGAGAAAAAACGAATTATAAAGGGAAGGTACTCACAAAGCTGTGAATGGAGCAGCCCTAGTTGCAACACAATAATTCTCGAAAGTAAAATATAAACATTCAACAGGGCCCAATATTGATTTTATGTACTATGTTCTTCGGCCTGGGTGTTCATTGGAGGCAGTGGTAATATCATTTCCCAGACCAGATGACTTTTTTTCTTTTCTAGATGCATCGCTGTCCTTCGTGGTATTTTTGGACAATCGGGAGTGCCACAGCCCAAGGAAACAGTGGTGACTCGATGGAGAGCTGATCCTTGGTCCAGAGGTTCCTATAGCTTCGTCGCAGTCGGAAGCTCGGGTAGCGACTATGACCTTTTGGCATCGCCTGTCATCCCTCCTACTGCACAAGGCGTTTCTGTCACATCAGGTCCTGCCAGGGTGTTTTTTGCTGGAGAACATACTATCAGGAATTATCCAGCAACGGTGCATGGGGCTTTCCTAAGCGGTCTGCGAGAAGCCAGCAGAATTGCTGATCAGATTATAGGAAACCCTTGCCAACCCCAACCGGCTGAATAAGCCTCAGCACTAATGATTATAATTTGCTCTTAATATTAGGCAGTGTGTTTTTCGTTTGCTTCTGTTCTTTTTTCAGCATTCACTACTAAGCTTTCTCAATCGTTTTTGCATTATTGTAATAAATTGATAATTTTCCAAGTGCATGTTTCTTTTCGGCGCATAAGGTGCAGAAATTTTCACCTAGAAGGTAATAGTTGGTATATTTGTTATGTTCATAGGGTTGTTTCCGGTATAACTCCTACAATGTTGAAATCGTTAAAATAATCAAGAATTCATAAATATATTTAAGTACAGGGTTATTAATCAAAAAAGCCCAGCTCCATATTAACGTTATTATTTCATCAAGAAATAAAACAATATGCGGGAGTTGAATGCCACAATGAGCCCTTTTTACAGCCCTTATCAATAGTTTTACAGGGTGATCCCTAGAAGCGTGACAAACCGCAAATTTTCTTCTTCAATGGAACGCCCCGTTTTTTATATTTATTTCGGAATCATTTTTATGGTCTCAAATATATATAGATATATAAATGATATAATAGGAAATATTGGGGGGTCCAGTCAATCGTGCTACAAGCAAACTACTTTATTGCTATGCCAAGCTTTCGAAAATTTCAATTTTCTTATTCATGGCTGAAACAATATATGGTATATGAAACATTTTGTTACAATTCAATTTAACAAAAACAAGAACCTAGGTACTTGCAATGTGAGTCAGAAGGTATGAATTGGAAAAATAATAAGTTCGAAAGATATAGAAGATGTAGACCTAAAATTGATGAGACAGTGGCAAAAGTCATATAATTTATATACCGGATGGAATGCAATGATGAAATTTTAGAATATGATCACTGGATCACTTTGAGAATGTATTCGATGATGGAGCAATATGAAAAAGTGGTGATAATAAATTTAAAATGAAAGATATTATATCATATATTTATGTGATCCCAAAAAATCACAGATTCTGAAAAACACGTAGAAAATAGAATATTCTATCTCAAAAAAATTATTTGTGGTGTGTCGTTTTCATGAATCACCCTGTTAAACTTTTGATGATCGCTGTAGAGAGGCTTTATTGCGGCATTCAACTTTCATATATTTTGTTTTCGTGATGAGAAAATGATTTTAATATAGGGGTGGGCTTTTTCTATAGATAACCCTATACATTTGTGTTCGATTGCGGAAATACTTACTCGTTTCAAGAAAACGGGGAATTTTAGATCTCTTGAATAATTTCGAGTTACAGTTATATCTCTACCCTAACAGCACAGGGATGTCCTAGGTACGTCCTTTTTTTGTCCCGCGGTACAAGGACATGATTGTTACATCCAGGGGATGTCCCACAGTGGTTGTTCAGTGGTCATCCCGCATGGTTCATCCTTAGGTCATCCCATTCGTCACTCTGGAATATCTGATATCCATTCACATCAGAGAGTCATTGAATTTCATCAAAATATTGGGTTGAATTTTTTCGAAAATGTATTTCTTCCGGAAAATAATTGTGATGAAAATGAAGAAGATAGTCTCAAAACTTTTCAAAAAATTACCATTTTTCGCAAACAGAAATTGTGACTGCATAATGCCTCTCATTTTTAAACACCCAAGAATGATAATAATTATACCAGAATCCTAACAAAGTTTTATTCATTCAGGTTTCTGTAGTTTAGTCCTGTTTATAAATCTGTTCAATACATGAATCTTCAGAAGGCATATTAGCCAATGGAGCAAGGTGCGTGCCTGATAAGCTAAAGGTCCAGTGTGCAATCCATACTCGACCTACATTTTTATCCTTTTGTTGAGATGTCCCTGAGATATCCTTGGGATGTCCTAGGGAAATCCCTTCTTCGTACTCGGTACATCCCAGGGACGTACAAGAAGGGACATCCCTTGGATGAAAGCGAATGTTCCTAAGACGTCCCTAGTATGTACTTTTTCCCTTTAAGGATATCCCTGGGATGTCCTAGTTTGAAATCAGGGACGTCCCTGGAAAGTCCCTAGTATGTACTCGTGTTGTTAGGGTATTGAAACAAGCGCTATCAGAATAAAATTTGGTGATCATTTCAATGTCAACAATATTGATTATGCCAGATTCTTAGTTTGGGTGTCGAAGCTATAATACAAGGAGTTGAAATTTTCAAGTCGAGTGATATAGAAGCCATCGGTATTATTTATTGGGGTGAAACTGATGGATTCAATATCATAAGTTGATTTTTATCATTTCTCGACTAACTTCGACTAACTATTCATGTTAGTTTATATTCCGATATACATTTGAGCTCTAGTGTAAAGAATAATTCTATCAGCAGCATCATTCACGATTCATAGTTCCATCAGAGGTATCATTGATGAATGTTTTTCCATGATTGGCTATGTAATATTGGCATTTCTCAACTACCAAAACAAAAAAAAAGGAACCAATACCTCATTTGTTCTCCTATTCCCTCTAGGAACGCACGATACTCCACGAGCATAATAGAGATTTCATTGCGCGACATTAAAAATAATTCAGCAAATTTGATCGATTTGGAACAATCAAAACTAATGTCACGAATATGACAGTTTACTTTTCATTGAATATCAAAAATGTATTGATGCAAATGAAACAGATCTTGGGCATTCGATGTTATTGTGATATAGTAGTGGTAGGAAGTTCAGAAATGAAATCGTTATATAAATTGTTCACGTTATTCGAATCGAATAATTCTTGTACCTACAAAAATTGTGCCACATCTACCAGTTGGAGAACAGCCCATTTCGACCTGGTACACGGCCATTATCTGGGGACTGTGCCATCTTACTCGTGTGACAAGAAAGCCAGAAATTCGATTTCACATTGTTTATATTTCCATTTATTCTCTCTCCATTAGTGTTGGGATTCGATAGAAACGAATTTCTATCATACAAGGTCTTTCAGAACAACGTACTATAATTTCTACAGGGTGAACTAGATACCAACCTAGGTCGATTGTAAGCAACTTTCCTTCATATGGAAATGCATCGTTGGGCCGTGAGAGGGCAATGAACAACAATTTTATTTCCCAATTTCCATCGATATTTCGAAATCCTAGGAAGGTTCTGCTATGAAATACGTATAGGGCAATTCACTATAGTGAATCTGCATGGAAATCGTGTCGTATCAATTCAATCGATATATAGGGAGTTAGGTATCTCGCATTCGCTGATGAAAAGTGATGTAACTTATTGTTCGTAATCAAATTATATCTTTCTTCTTCATCCCCCTATTCAACACTCCATTGAACCTCTGGTGACTCAATCAGTACCACTGTCCTGCTAGTTCATCTATGATAGTAAGATATCGAAGTGTGTGTGATGAAGATGGATTCTGAAAAAAAAAAGAGTTTGTCTTTAATTTTTTAAATGGAAGTCTAAAATATATATTACCAGATAATGATATTTTGATCGATTTCAAATCTCTGACTCCAATGTTTCTCCTCTGCCCATACCAGGAACATTGTGTGGCCATTTCATTGGAAAACAATAGAACAAGTCCCCAATATAGATATAGTCTCTTCCATATCCCACCTTGAGCTTTGAAAAAGTATACAGTTCAGAATTCATATCTTATTGGATTTCTCCATTAACTTATTCATGTAACAAAGAATAATAATCCTGACATAATGTTCAAATTTCCATAACCGATAATATACGCTTAATCCAGAATGTAAGGCACTTTGAAGTTTTCACTGGGGTTCTCATCAGTCATCATAATCAATCAGTGGCTGTTGTTCAATTCCATATTAGAATCGAAGATTTACCAGATTTTACCTCGAATTCTATCAATACCTACCAAAGTCTGACAGTGATCACTTCTAGAGGTCCAGGATAGATTTGTAACTATTTCTTTCTTGTTGTTTTTACAGAGGTTAGGAAAATCTCGAGATATGTTTCATTACCACTCATCTTCACTTATTCGTATTAACACTTCAGACTTGATCAAACAAAGCAGAAAAATGGTAAAAACAAGAAAAACACTCGAAATAGTTATAAAATACCGAAAATGCCTTCAGTCTCGAAGTCTTCACTTATAACTTATAACCTCACAGTAGTCAACCAAAGGGAATTGGGAATGTGAAGAGGAGGACCGCTACAGCGCGAGACCAGAAAATAATAATCATCGCGGTGGGGGAATGCTACAGCGCGAGACCGCGGGTACTGATCACCCCAAGGAATGTCCTCATTTGGCGCAGAATCAAGTCTACAGAGAATTTACGACCGAGAGCTCCACTCCTAGAGTGAAAGATCATTGAAATAGCGAATCCCTATCGGCCTTAACAGTAAAACATGCCTTCAACACAGTTCTCTTTCCGGAAGTAAGGAAAATATCCCTTCTGCATAAGAAAGGATACTACTTTTCATAAACGAACTGACCTCTTGCTCGTCCTCAATGAACAGTCTTTCAAAGAAGAATATTTCTCGGAAAATCACTCGAGAAAAACATTTTCACATATCAGTTACATCATAGTAACGTTAAATTTTTTTATAAATATGGGGTTTACATGTTTTAGAATTGTTATGGAGTATTCACGTAGATATTTTATATAAATACGAGGTTTACATATCTTGTTGCTGTGTTGTGAGTTGTTATGGAATATTTACGTAATTATTTTATATAAAAAAGTTGATCTTATATAACAGTTATGTAAATACAACAGATGTGTTTGCTGAGAGTATAATCTGGAAAGGAGTTGAATGAGACAAAATAAAAATATCAAGAGTAAAAGAGTTTTTATGAAACCATGCTATAGTTACAATGCGATTATTATACAAGTATCATATTATCCAGATGTTGAATTCAATTCTGTGGTAACACCTGAAGTATTTGAATAAGTATATAACTTCACCTGGTAAAAGAATTTTATAAATGCAGACGCTCTTCTGGACCTTGGAGCAACGTAGAATCATGTCTGATTTATTATTCATCTAAAAAATAATCTATGTTGATATCTCTCATATCATCCTATGTACCGTCTAGACCC